CTGAGCTACAGAGAGACAGTGGTCGAGCTCTAACCAGCTGAGCTACAGAGAGACAGTTGTCGAGCTCTAACCAGCTGAGCTACAGAGAGACAGTTGTCGAGCTCTAACCAACTGAGCTACAGAGAGACAGTTGTCGAGCTCTAACCAGCTGAGCTACAGAGAGACAGTTGTCGAGCTCTAACCAGCTGAGCTACAGAGAGACAGTTGTCGAGCTCTAACCAGCTGAGCTACAGAGAGACAGTTGTCCAGCTCTAACCAGCTGAGCTACAGAGAGACAGTTGTCGAGCTCTAACCAGCTGAGCTACAGAGAGACAGTTGTCGAGCTCTAACCAGCTGAGCTACAGAGAGACAGTTGTCGAGCTCTAACCAACTGAGCTACAGAGAGACAGTTGTCGAGCTCTAACCAGCTGAGCTACAGAGAGACAGTTGTCGAGCTCTAACCAACTGAGCTACAGAGAGACAGTTGTCGAGCTCTAACCAACTGAGCTACAGAGGCCAGTTGTCGAGCTCTAACCAACTGAGCTACAGAGGCCAGTTGTCGAGCTCTAACCAACTGAGCTACAGAGGCCAGTTGTCGAGTTCTAACGACAAGGTCATGTATATATACTGTGGTACTGCCACGTTAGGTCATGGATAAATATCAAGATTTTCAGGTTGGCATTTCACTCGATTAAATTCCATTCTCTGAATCCAAGTCACGCGCGCGACCCAACAGTGACCAGATCCCTTTTTTCCCAGTGAGAAAAAATCCCAGCTCGCATAGTTTATCTCTTTATGGACCCTCTTAGATAAAAAATAATTTAATCGCATTGTCATCAATAAGAATCACCTGATCAATCGAATTGAAAGACGAAAAAATGCATGTAGCACGTTTGAAACATTTTTAGCGAAGCTTAATTGTTCTGACTGAGCAAAAATTATTTTGGTGACAAATTGATAGGTGACATAAGCTTTTATATGATTGCTATTTGCTGTGGACTCTAATCGATAGTTCTATGATACTATGATAAATTACGATCCATCGTTATAATAGTTTCAGAGTTGATTTTTTTATTGTCTGTTAAGTTAAGAGGATCAATATTACGAAATACACATGATTGTCGCTAAAAGGTGATAAAACACATTTGAAATGTTCTGATACATATATAATTGTTGGTACTTGTATAGAATTTAAGAAAATATAAAGTGAGAATACGACGGCGACATGATTGCGGAAATGTATTGGAGGTATTAACAGCTGCTGTTCCCCACAAAGATTAATCGCTGCCACCTTTATAATGCTTGTTTTGGCCCTTGTTTGCTTTTGGGGGCTAGAAAATATTTGCCAGTTCCTTAATAGGGCTGCGCGGAGCAAAGAGCCTGATACAAAACAATGTTTCGTTCGTTTCCTATATACACAGAACCGGCCCAACTAGGAATCGTTCTGAGACCTCTGGAACCCATGGTGTTATAAAACTATGAAATTATTTAAGAAACTTTGTCGACATGTTCAGTGATGGAAAACGCTGAATTCCATACCAAATTTGGAAGATACTAAAATAAACGAAATGTTGATTTTATTCTGATAACTATTTTCATTCTTCTTAATTCTGTGCCTGATTAGATCACACTGACACACCTTAAGAATACAAGGTTGAAGCCTGGTTCGATGTATGCAGGTGGCCGATATACTGTTGGCAGGGCTATAGCGACATGGGGATGGTGTGGGGATACAACGATTTCAGGTAATGTTTCCAGGCAACTTGAAGTGATTTTCAGGTAAATCATGAGAGTATTGACAGGCAAACGTGAAGTTAAGTGTGAACGCAAGCTGAAAATGGAAAATCTTTCAAGTTGAGAATAGAAATCCGGGCTTTCTGAAAAAAACCAGTGAATTTCAACCACTGCTTTTGTAAGTGACGCAAAAGTAATTTAAAACTGCTCCCTCCCTCCAGTGACAAAGTCTTCGCCACGCGCACGTCCGTGATAATAAGGTGTCAATAATGTGACTAGCTTACAACTCCAAACATGATTTGGCCAGGACAACGTCGACAAGCGACACCAATCCGAAAACACTTGATTAGTCTAAAACCAGCATATACGTCGCAGACAACACGCATATTTTAACGGAATTAAAGGAACACGCCAAAGTAAGCTGCATGATAATATATTATCCCGCAATGGCCACAGAAGTTCAAAAGTCAATGAGAAGCAATATGCTTGTCTCATTTTTGCATTAGACCCCTTTGAGGTGAAGTGCATAACTTAATATCCATTGTGGATTATAGACTGGGGGGTTGAAATTGCCATGCATATCGGCACGCGCTCGAAGGTGAGAGTCTTTGGAGTTTCGCAAAATATTTCTCTAAATTTTACTAACGAGTTGAGAAAAAAGATTGAAGACTCATCAAGAAATTTGGTTTTCGTAGCCTCAAGAAGTGTAGAAGGTTTTGCTCTAGTCCAAATAAAGCCTGGATAACCAGTCTTGGGATTAAAGAACGAAGAATGGAATGGGATTTGAAGGCCTCACAGAGAAAAGACGAATTACTTTGTCTCAGAATGGAATTAACTTACACGGAATTACTTTGAATCTAGTGCTCAACTGGAATCGAAACATTACTGTCATTAGGCTACATCCATTGAATTAAACCCACAACCTTGGACACGACACTAATCGAGACCATTCCTCGCAATACTGCAATGATAATCTACATTGACAAATCAGTTAACATGAAACCTCGTGACCCACGCCTCTCACCAACTTCAATGTCGTAAATGTTTGGTAATTTATCATGACACCACTGAGCTCCATATATATCTGGAGCGAGAACTCGAGTCCAAAAACTGAAGCCAAGATGGCGGAAATCGATGATTCCTCTTATTATGTTTTCGTAGCGCTTTGCATTGTGGTTATAGTGGTATCACTGATAAAGATAGCTGCCTCGAATGAAAATATTGAATGTTTTCGCGAATATTTTGCTATTAGGGAGTTTACGATCTGCGACGCGGCCGGCTCAACGACGTGGTCTAAATTTTAGCTCAAGAATGAGCGCTAAGCAATTCGATTACTGTAATAAATATTTGACTCTTTCAAATAACCTTACAAAATGCTACGTTCGGCTAAAGTGATGCAATGTTTGCTGTAATTTCGACTTTTAGTAACACCTCTTGTGTCGCATTAAGCTTTCGCGTTGCCTGAAAGACGTGAAAATGCTTTTTTAACGTTGTGTTGAGAATGACAACGCGTTTGACAATACTCATGGGACCACAAATTATTGACAGTTTTTGTCTTGCCTGACAAATTTCTTTGTAAGTTCTTTGTGGGTTTGCATGGCGATAAAACACATAATACTATTGTTTGTGGAAACACCAAATTTCTTTGTTTTGAAAGCGCGTCGTCGAGCCGGCCGCGTCGTAGATCGTAAACTCCCTAATAACTATCGCGCACCCGACCCTAGCTTTTATTAAAAGTTCTTGCACGGGTCAGGACAAAAAATAAGCCATCTTGAATATCAGTGATACCACTATAACCACAATGCAAAGAGCTACGAAAACGTAATAAGGGGAATCTTCTATTGAAGAGCTATTGGACGTTAGTCCCAGTCCCTTTCTGTTGTTTTTGTCTCCTTTCTGTTGTTTTTGTACATGCTTGGAGTCAAATACCGTTGAAAAAATAGCCGAAGTCGACCAAAGGACTTCTGAGAACACAGTGATATGTTCACTCATGATTACTTAGAGTTTATCAAGTGTGTATTTGGCTAAATCATTCCTGATTGGCTAGAATTACAACCAGGTTATTTAATTCAGACAGTGAATAGAGGTAAAAAATGGAAACAACCTACAAAAATCGATGCTTTATTTTAAAATAGGCCAAAAAGAAGCTGGCATTTCAGGGCTCCAAATTAAAAAATTGGGAGAGCATGGCCCCGGACCCTCCCCCCCCCCCTCCCCGTTGTAGTAACGCACCCTTCCCCTCCCAAAAATCTGCACCCTCTCTAAACAAATCAAACGAGTTATAAACACTGATCATGCACTGTTTTGCAGAAATCCAATCCCAAAATGTGTTCATGCATATTTGGTAGGTGTAGTTACCCTCGGATTCCGCAATAAATCCTGGACGTTGCGCTCAAGACATGAAGTAAAGCATACATTTGGGAGCTATTAAACGTTTTGAGGTTTTCAATAAGAATAATGTATCTCTGATTAATAACGTCTAGGTTTTTTTTTATTATTGATTGGACATTAGCATACAATGCGGCCCGAAGATTGGTGTTTTGCGCGAAATAATCAGATTATGAAAAGATTATAGTAAAAAAAGGTGTCAGAAAGTCGATACAGCGGGAATTTTTAAAGTGCATGGGTATTATCGACATGCTTTCCGACACTCAGCTTTTCATTTTGCGTACACCGCCAGACCTAGTGCCGCATTCCGGATTGGCATTTTAGTTTTTGCTCTGGCTGGCTTTTTACAACACTTGATACTTTGTTGTATTCCATCACTGCAAAAATCCTTAAGTTATATTCTGACTCAAAATCACTCAAATTTATTATGAGCAAATTTACTTAATTCTTTTAAAAATAAAGACTTGTTTTGTTTAATCAATGAGTTTTTCAATCACAATGGGTGCATTTAAAATACTCAGGTTTTTTGCGATAATGCTTACTGTATTCAAAACAGCTGGTGGTGTTGTGGGCATGTGAGAATCTGCATTACCTAGCAGCAGCCATAAACATACTCATTTATCAATCTTCATGATCCATATTTGATTAATCTGATCAGCATATCGACCTAATTAAACCTACCGAATCTCTCCTTGTGTGGACAGTGAAAGGCCGACTATCACAGTATTATTAATGTAATGTAATAAAATATACAGAGTTAAGTGTGGTTTTCACTCGCCGACGCACGCATGATCATGTGACCTGGATGAAGACGTATGATTGGCTATAATGTCCTGAGATACGTATTTCACAAATAAGCTAAAGTGGCCGTTGTCAGTACCTGCCTATTGTAGTGCTCAAGCTTTGAAAGCCCCGACTAATCACACTTATTGGATTTTGCTGAGAATAGCAGTAAAGGAAGTAATAATTTAGACTATCACTCAATATTTCTAGTTTATTACATCTAAGTAGGTCAAATGCGAAAATAAATGAGATGTCCTTAAAAGCATCACGCAACTAATTATTATTCAAGTAATGCTGATAAATTCCTTCTCTGTATTTCAGCTACCTCAATCCTTTACACTTAGTATTAAAGGAATACCGAATGGTTTTCCGTGCAGGATTGCGTGATCCATGCACGAGGGATGTCGCGAGACTTTCGGAAAGCGTAAAAATACTCGAACCGCAGGCGAGTGTATTTTTACGCTTCCCGAAGTCGAGCAACATCCCAAGTGCATCGATCGCGCTATCCTGCTTGGAAAACCATTTGGTAATTGTTGTATAAAATAACTACAGTGAAACAATGACATTTTGAGAATCCCGCAAAAATCCCGCGAAGGCATTTTAATTCCTCGTGCAGGATAGCCTGATCCTGCACGGCTATTGACCAATCAAATTGCGTGTTTCACTGTAGTTATTATATAATACCGTAAACTTCCGAATATAAGCCCCCCCCCGAATATAAGCCCCCC